AAACTAAAGGGAATTTCAAAATTCAATATATAACAGGGATTACCGATACCAAATACATTCCTACAATTCCCAGCTATTACGCTACTGATAGTCACGGGAGTAGCCTTGGAAATCTATTGAGTAGCTCACAGATTGCAGGTTCAACACCGGCCATTGGAACCAATCGCGGTGAAAAGGAAAACAGGGGCAGCGCAAGGGCAGAAAATTGGATATATGAAAGATGCAGGAGAGTGGCGTCCTCTCCCCAAAAATGGATGGAAGTAATTCGGGCGTTGATACCCTGCGAGGAAAATATCTTTATAAAGCGCAAGGGTTATACGGTACTGTACTCCAGTACTCGTACAGTACTTGTAAAATGTCAGTGCAATCTCAATTAGCGTCCAACAAGGCAGTAGGAATTCAGGAAATTCCATTCCTTGGCTTTTGGCAGGGTTTCAAGTTTGCGCAGGCTCTGCCACACTCTAAATTAACCTACTACGAGCACTAAGAGAAATGTAAATTCAGTCCAGGAAAAAGAATGTGAGAAAGTGGAAATCGGTAGGTTCAAAAGAAAGAGAAACTAAGAAGCAAACAAAAGAAAATCAATTCCGGAAAATCCGTATCAATTGGTCCTTGCACTCTCGGGGAAAAGTCGTATCACTCAATGGACTTCACTCGCACACTAAGTCTTGGCCGGTTTGATTCGTATTTCGTGATATCCGACGTTCGCTCGTTTCGGTTGCTATCAACAACGTTAAGAAGACAGATGTCAGAAATAAAACGTTTCCCTTCCTCCTTCAAACAAATCCTGTTACTATCGCTTTACCAAAACCACAATCAAACAACATACTTCTCGAAGTCAGACGGAAAACTGACTAATAGAACTTCAAAATCCACAAACCGGATTTTGAACCTTATAGTACTACTGCTAGCACTCCTGTTTCTCTTATTCAAGTTAATACGGTAGTCTACCGGAACTCAGCTCCCAGCCGTCAACGCCCTCCGCCCACACCTCTCCACTTTCTCCATCTACTTCTCTCACTTGTTATAGCTCTATCCTTACACTTGGCCTCCACTGTGACTTTTCTCTTCGGCAGAAAGCTCCAAGAGACATCTCATGACCTTGTACCGACAGTTCGGGAATCTCTATTGTGAATAAGCAGGGTGCGCAAGTTTGCTCCTTCTATCGCTTGGCCGTTATGGTATCGTGTCGCATAGGCCCACGAGGTTGAGCAATGAATTTGCTTTGCCGGGATTGCAAGTTATCTAGGCGGGCAAGCTTTGGGTGTGGGTTGATTGATTTGTTGGGATATTGGTATGTCGACTATGTCCCACATGGGGGGGGATTTGGCGGCGCAGGTGGAGCGGGTTCGGTGTAGCGTGCGTTGCTACGATGGTTCAGAGTTAGCGCTCGACATTCTGATTTGGTTTGGTTCGGGTTGATTTTATAGGAACCTCTTTAGCCAGCTGGTGTCATGGTATTCGTTCAGGTGGCTGAGGGGAAGTCACTGCACATTAATGTAGTTCCATTATTCTTGGTGGCATTGCCAACTTTCCTTCTTCTTAAACCCACCTTCGCTGCCTGGCCCTGATATGTTGTATTGTATAGGCGCCGGCCAAAGCCCTCGCCCGGGTGAGCGGGTGAATGCGGGTGAAGACTATGGACACCGAGACAGTGAAGCTCCTAGGTGTCTAGTTCAGGGCACTAGGAATGGGTTTTGCAGAAAATGAGCGACTACGGTTAGGGTGCGCTAACGGTACGTTGAAGCTGGAATTGGGGATTGTATCACACCGGTAGACTATTATTATGTCTCGTGCGCGAGCAGGACTGGGCTTAACTGGCCGGCGAGGTGTGCAGGCAATGGAAGTAGTCATAGGGTATCACTGAGAAATAGATCTACCTGATCTCCTTTATATCCTCCGGTTCATCCCTCGGCGATGGTGGGTTTAATGATCCCCGGCGCTTCATGGGAGGTTTGTCCGATGGGGGGAACTCTCCTGGGGAGAAATGTATCGCGGGATCATTGATATCGTGGGAACTGAGAAGCAGTGTTTTCCTACCCCTGGTTGGTTTTTGTTCCCATTTGTTTTTCTGTGCTTGGGTATCATAATATTATGTCCTATTTTTTTTTGTGGTTCTCTGATACCATGCCCGTAGAGGTAGTTGATTTCTTTTCTTTTTTCCTTTAGTAACACTTGGTGTTGTAGAAACTTTCTTTCTTTTTCTTTTAAAATTTGATCTATCATTGGTGGATGGTTTTGGTTAGACCGCCTCTGTCTCACACATCATTACTAGTATCCCCTCGATCTACTCTCGAGCCCGTTGTGAATGTTGAAAGTCTGAGGGAGAAGATATGGATGGATAGTCAGAAATTGCCAGCAGGGGTGCCGAGCTTTTTTTCTTGGCCCTCTCTGAGAATGTGCTCACAAATACACCCAACTGCACATCTCATCATAAATCACATGCATTCTCAGAAATTCCCCCCTATGCATCTACCATCATTGTTATCAGATCTTACTTCTTGGCAGATGAGATATCACTCCTTGGCGCGACTGCTCAGTACAGTACTTGTACATATATGATAGGTGTAGTAGTAGAGGGTGCGCCCTCCTGTTTATTCACCATCGCGATGCCAAAAACAGCCCAAAAACTAATTGTAGGTCTTCAAACTCTTTTAGGGGCCTTTATTTTCATTCTGATTATACTTGTCTCACCCCAACAGCCCCGCGAACGCGCCAGACCCGCGGCCCGATAGCCGCTCTGTCCGCTGCAACAATCGACCGAAACCAAACCACAGCCCCCAGACCCCTTGCTGGTACAAGCGCGGCCGCCGGCTGGTGTTATATAATTAACGGACGTGCTTAGAGAGCCAAGGTTAGGGCTCCGTTACACGGACTTGGGCGCCTCCGGTGATGGGATATAGCAGCACTAGAAGCGGTAGTGTCGCAGTATGATAGATGGTCCGTAAGAGAAACAGGTGGTGAAAACCTGGTGGTATCGAGAGAGATTAGTGAGAGGAGATCAACTGACGGTTTACCAATATATGAGACGAGCGTCTCAAAGCTTAGTGTCTATTCCTACCTATTTTCCTGTATTGAGCCGTCCTATATTATACTATGCCACCCAGAAAAACATAAGACAGGTATTAACGAATAATGGGAATGGGGAGAAAAAAGAAAGGGGATGTGGACAAAGTCTAACTAAAACACATTGCAAGGGGGAAATAAAAAAATGAACAAGAGTACTCTAGGCGGATAGGCCTGCCAGTGAGAAATATCCGCGTTCTAGGGGACTCCCGAAAAATATCCCTCAGTGACTTGAGAAGTTCTGGTAGATGTTTCGGTAGGCCTCCGCCGCGCGCATCAATGCGAATTGAAACTTGGGGTGACGGGGTAATAATGACCTCCAACATTCCCATGGGACCGGGAAGCCGCAGCCCCCCGCCACCAGGTTCCTTTTCCCCTTTGTGAAACGCCTTGCGCAGAAGGCCTGGGGGGGGGGCCTCCAGGCTTCGGCACCCATCCCTCTTAAGGAGGAGGTTTTGAAGCTCTTGGACGATGCTATCTTTATTCCCTGAGTGTCAGAAGTCTATCTCGAAAACCTACAGAAGAAAAAATAAAACCCTCCGTTATGGCAGATTAGCAATAGCTAGGAACTGATGATTAGTCTGCGGCTCATAGAGAGCCAGCATGGGCAAGTCGCATGGAAGAAAAAACATCAAATGACAGCACGTAGTAAAATAAAAATTCATCCTATACGCCTGCATCCCAATCAGAGCTGTCTATTCAATGCTTCGAATGTTAAATATGTATCTTCGAGTGGTTGCTGATTATTCCCTATATCCCCATCTTTATTTTTTGTCGGTGGGGAATCCTATCGCCCCACTATTTTCCTCACATGTATGAGGTCAATATAATAACATCATGTAAAATGCCAGTTTTTCCACCTTTCCACCTCCACCACCCGAGTAAACGATCAGCGTCTCTAATCCTTGCTTCATGACCGAAATCTTTCCGACCTTTATTATCCATACCCACGTACTGTACAGTCACTTAAGCTTTGTTGATTTAAGAATTAGCGAATTATTACAAGCTCTCTCGACGAGTATTGTAGGGGAGCTCCTTGGCAAGAGCTGATGAGCAGAGGTCAGGTAACTGTGAGGGTGAGATTGGGTATCATACTTAAACTCGGTTTTGTTCAGGGTTGCCTAGCGCGGGTCCTGACTGCAAACAATATATTACAGTAACTTTGTCATAATATTATCATACCTGGCACGCACGATGCGTGAAATATTTGGTTTGTTTACAAAGTCCTGGAGTCTTATGAGGTCCTATTAACTGACTGTGTATACTTAAAAATTTCTGCCGGCTTTTTCCACGATACTCACCGTCACCAAATGTGGCTTTCTGGGTGCTTTGTTTGGTGGTTTAGTGGGTTCTGGCTACCTAGGCCGAAGGCGTTCCCAGGTTGTCGTCTCGAACACCCAGCACGTCCCCACCAACAAATTTCTTCCGACGAACGAATTCCCTCACGCTATCCAGTACCCTCAGTCCACCTCATGGCGTCTGCCCAACAGATACTCTCCAACCGTTAATTGCGGTCCGAAAAAAAAAAGCACCCGGGAGCAGCTAATCATTGCGTTGGGCATCTGCCAGGTCATAGAACAATCTTATCGCGAGCGCACGTTTGATCTGGAGATGGTATTACATGAGTGTGCCAAACTCCTTTGGGCGTATGACAGCGAGGAGTCGGATCCTAATGTTTTAACAACAAGATTCAAGCACACTGGATACAGAGTTCAGGCGCCGAGGGAGGGAATCTTAATTGCATATAACTGACATGAAGCAGAGTGATAAAGACATAAAAAGGAAAGCAAGAAATAAGGAAGCGAAGAGCGATAGAGAGGAAATGCGATGGTTACGCTCAAAATAACAGTGGAGGATGATCCTCTTTTATCTACCAATCTCTTTTCCAATTTCTCCCACTGCCTTCTTCCCCTATTCATCTAAGCACAAGCAACTCAAAAATACGCCAAAACTACTGCCGCGGCGGGTACAAACACCACTATAAAAGCCCGCGCAGGGCCAACCCTTGACGAAGCCTTCCGCACACTCAACGTTAAGCCGCCAGAGAATGGGGTGATCAAAGAAACGACGTTGATGGAGCGGCTCAAGAAGCTGTTCGATATCAATGGGGCAGGGAAACGTTGATGTTTCTACTTGCAAAGTAGGATCTTGCGGGCGAGGGAGAGGATCAAGAGTTGGGCCTGAGTGGCCGGGGGTTGAAGGCGGAGGGGTTTGGAAAGGGTTAGAAGCCAAGATTTCTAAATGATGGGAATTATGGATTTGTATCTCTGGGAGGGTGAATAGCGTTAGATATTGTACATATTACTCCATTTTCTGTGGCTTCTGGTTTTTCCCTTTGTGTTTCATGACCGCTCGGAGCTCGGGTGAGTTGGGAGACTTAGAAGTGATAGATTTTGAGCTCTCTACTTTACCTTGCCTAATATGTATATTGATTTGGGGCTCCCAAGGCCGGACAAATACATGCATCATCGATCACGATAATTGTATCAGCTCAAACTTTGGTTATTCTTTTCTAGAGTCAATTCCTTTTTATATACTAGCTCTCGCTATACCAGATCAAACAAGGAAAAGAGAACACTGCATATCATAACTCGGTATAGCACATCAACTAAACAGCCGAGAACGCAGCATGTCCCTTCTGATACACCCCGTTATGTAGCACCTGCAATTCTAACAGCACATATTGCTTACGGAGCTTATTCTACCCTTTGGTCAAGGTAGCCCTGGACTTATTTTTGCCTGGTACTCGGGTCTAGGTATTGCTGGACTTGAGCCATTCTGGAGTATGTCTCTGGGCAGACTAGAGAGCAACGAGGTCAGTCACTTGTGTCCGGAGAGTTGTTAAGGGTGGGGAGCTTGCATCTAGGTAGAATTATCAGGAGCGCCTCGAATGAGGGCTCGAGTCAAGATACCCAGCGGTCGATCAACTGGTGCAATTCCGTGGTAAGCTACTCGTTGAGAGCTGAATAGATATCACGAGCCGCCCGTACCTCTTTATCGTTCTGCAATGAGTGTTAGTACGGCGCTAGGTTTTAAAGCTTGAGGAAAGGTAACATGCTCTAGGCAACTTTCCGTGATCTTTGTCAGGCTTCTCTACTAGGTTTTTGACCTTTCCCCCGCATCTGAGCGTAATCAACGAGTTTGTGATTCCTCTCGTTTATACCTAACCCACGAGCCCATTAGTTATGGATCGGAAACCGTGATCCAGGGGGGGGTCTCATACATTCGTTAATATCTGGGAAGTAAGCACAGAATATAGTGATATGTTAAATTTTAATGGTCCTGTA